AGCTTCTGTCTAGAATCTTCCCCTCTCCTCCTCACTGGCTTCCCGCTACAGATTATTGAAAGAAAAATTACACATATCCTTATAATCACACATCATGAAATGTTTGTATATAGGGTTTGGGGTGCGAGCAGATAGAATCCTTGCTGCTTTTCCTCACCTTGTGTGCTCACAGGGCTGGTCACATCCTAGTCCTAGCTGGGTTGTATGTCTTGCAGGGTCCTTATTCCAGTGGCAGTTTGTATCATGCCAGATGTTCTAACCTCAAATTTTCAGGCTCTATTAGAATTACTGTGGTTTAGAGAGGAAAAACTGTTTCTTTCTGAAATAGATACTTTTAAAAATCATTTATTTTAATACAAGCAGAGTGTGAATGATTTCTGTGTATTCCAGAATCAGATTTCCTTAACCCCAGAAGAGTTCATTTTCCTTTTAGTATGGACTTTTAAAAAACTATACTGCAATCTAACCAGTGTGCAGTCAGCTCTTTGTAGCAGTCCTCCTGCTTAGAAAACCCAGCCCTGTTATACAGACAAAACAGTTCTAATGCTGGCAAGGGACAAGCTCAGGTGAACTCATTTGCCCTTTAAGCCCACTACTAGCTTTTAGGAATGTAGCAAGCACATGTTGTTCTACTTAAGCCGTGTGCTACATTCCCAGAATTTATTAACTCATTAGTTCCTGGAATAGAATACTATGTAAAACATAAAGATAACCAAGTATTTATATGTTTAAAAGATGCTCCCTTAACTTTTAGCTTTGCTTTTCAAGGATGTATTGGCATGAGGCTATTAATGTTCAGTAGATAAGCACAGTACTTCTGACCTATGTGGATGCAAAGAATAATTCACTTGGCTTTGAACTGATGTATTACCAGCCAATAAAATTGTTCTTCTAATCCCAGGCAGACTTTACCTAAGGCTCAACATGCTTTCTAGTTCCAATCTGTAAAGCTTCTAAACATTAGCAATATGGCTTCAAATAACCTTCCCAGGGCCGGTCTTACCTAAAATGGCACCCTGGGTGAGGCTGGGGGTGGCGTTTGTCTGGGGACGGAGCTGGGGGCGGTGCGGGCCAAGAGGTGGATTGGAGGTGCAGGCAGAGCAGGGAGTGGAGGTGGACCATGGCTCTGAGGTGAACAGGACTTGGGGGGTGGAGCCGGGCAGGGGGCTGTTATTGTGACACATTCCTGATGGTGCACCCTCCTGACCACGGTGCCCTGGGTTGTTGCTTACGTCAACCACCCCTAAGGCTGGTCCTGAACCTTCTTTTTGTATCAGAAGAATAAATGCTGTGATATAGTAATATCCAAGTTTATTTCATAATATTGGTGTTAAAACTATGAATTAGTTATTCGGGGCCAAATTCTACTACCCTTAGTCAATTTATTCCTTGATTAATTCAAATCAGTGGGACAATTCATGGAGTAAATTTCTACTCAACATGAGTAAGGGTGACAGAAACGAAGCCCTAGGAAAATTGTACTGGAATAATCCGATGTAACCACTGTGAGGCAACGTGTTTTCAGAAAGGACCTTGTGTCTGACTACTGTTATGACTATACATAGTTTTGACTGTGAAATGTAACATTTCACTATGGCTGCAGTGCAGAGGAGACAGGAGGATTGAATACAGCCCTATGAAAAACCAGAGCTCAGCTTCAGTGTGTGCACCACTCCCGACTTGCCTTCCTGGAAGAATTCTCTATAATAACTGCTGCTGTAGACCACAACAGGCCACAACTGACCTGGAGATCCAAGGTGGGTGAGGTAATATCTCTTATCAGACCAACTTCTGTTGGTGATAGAGACAAGCTTTCAAACTACACAGGGAAAGGTACTCCCAGTATCACAGCAAAATTCATTACTCTGCTAGACACTAACAATCACGGCCTGAACGGAGACGCTGGATTTATGGCTTAATTACAACAATCTGTAACCCACTAACCCCCTTCTTTTTTTGTCTTATGACTGCAGAAATGTTAACAGGCCACTCTGCCTTGAATGGTCCCTTGCAATATGTGCTAAATACTTATGCTAAACAATCTCTTCCGCCTTGCATTTTGCTGTGATTATCGGAGTACTTTTCCCAGACCTGAAAAAGAGCTCTATGGGTATGTCTGTACAGCAGTGGTTCTCAAACTTTTGTATTGGTGACCCCTTTCACACAGCAAACTACGAGTGCTACTCCCCCCACCCGGCCATAAAATTAAAAACAATTTTTTTTTATATTTAACACTATTATAAATAGTGGAGGCGAAGCAGGGCTTAGGGTTTGAGGCTGACAGCTCGCGATCCCCCAGGTAATAACCTTGTGACACCCTGAGGGTTGTGAACCCCTGACTTGGGGTGATGGGGCTTGAGCTGCAGGGCTGTTTCATTGCTGGGTAGACTTCTGGGCTTGGGCTGGAGCCCAGGCTATAGACACGTGCAAGGTAGGAGGGTCCCAGAGCCTGGGCCCCAGCCTGAGCTTGGAAGTCCACACAGCAATGAAACAGCCCCACAGCCCAAGCACTGCAAGCCTTTGCTTTGCTGTGTAGACATATCCTCAGTGGCTCGAAAGCTTGACTCTCTCTCACCAATAGAAGTTGATTCAATAAAAGATATTACCTCACCCACCTTGTCTCTTTAGTCTTCTGGGACCAACACAGCTACAACTACACTGCATACTAGAGATCCAAGGATGTCTCAACTTGCTCAAAATGTTTAGAAGGAATAAATGAAAGCAACCTCAGCAGGCACCAGTGCAGGTCACCTTAACTTCTGAGCAGGGAAAGACTAGATTGCCCACCACTAGAATGACAAAGCGCTGAAGGGTTGATTGTTAGAATGTCTAGATTCCTAAAAGTCTATGGAACAAAAAAAGAACACAGAGAGATGGCAGATGGAATAATGGCATTGAAGGCAGCAATTTCACAATGTCTTATCTGAAACAAAATCAGAATGATGTAAAAACAGGTCTACTGTAAAAAAGTGTGTTAGTAATTGCTATCAGAGAAACTGGAGATTGATGAAAAAGAGCGCTAGCCTACTCTGATAGAGAGAAGATCCCTGGCAAGAATCCCTGGCAAGAACAAGCCAGTGAACAAGAACAATGAATATACTATGATCCTCATAGCATTGAACTTGCAATAGTCATAGGTCATTTTTAACTTCTGAAAAAAGGTGTTGTCCATAAGGAGGTCAAGTGTAATTTCCGGACTGGAGGCCTATTGTTCTGTTAAGACAAAAATATTCATTGTTGAAAATATGAAGACTTTAATTTTATTTTCAATGAAGTGGACAGCCGTTTGTAACAATATTTGGTTATATCTAGAACAATAACATGCCATTGAGACATAGCTAACTGCCTTGCTTTGGAGTACACTGGGAAATCTGACCATTGGACTGTGGAAGCAGAAGACTTATGTTTCAGACTTTCATATTTGTAAAGGGATGTAAGGATAGCTACATACTGTTGTTGTTTTTATCTTGTTAGGTTTGGCTTACTGTTGAAAGTTCATTTTTTGATCATTTGATTGTGACTGAATAATCACAGATACATCTGTTGGCAATTTTCATCTTCATTGTGTGTGTATGAAACCTTGCAGTACTTACTCAAAGGAACAGAGTTCACATTCTTAAGAGCGAGAGAAGTATTTGGTTTTGCCAACTCTTACAATTTTGTTGTTGACTCTCAGCTATTGGATGTTTATCTTAAAGCTCTACATCCTGGTATCATGGGATTTTGCGACAATCTCAATTTATATTCAAAACCAAAAATGTGTCTAGCCTTGATAGTTTCAGAAATAAGCTTGAAAATGTGAAATCTAAAGGCTCAAAAGTCAGGATGCAAATATATGTTTTTAAAAAAAATCTTACGGTTTTTAAGCCAACCTCATGGTTTTCTGGGGGTCTGACCTATGATTGTTGAATGCTTGGGGTTTGCAAGGTACAGAAAAGGGCAACAAAAATTATTAGGGGTATGGAACAGCTTCCATATGAGGAGAGATTAAGAAGACTGAGACTTTTCAGCTCAGAAAAGACACGACTAACGGGGTTGGTGGTGGTGGTGGTGGGGATATGATATAGACCACTATAAAATCATGATTGGTGTGGAGAAAGTAATAATGAAGTGTTATTTACTCCTACTCATAACACAAGAACTAGGGGTCACCAAATGAAATTAAAAGGCAGCAGGTTTAAAACAAACAAAAGGAAGTATTTCTTCACATAACGTATAGTCAACCTGTGAAACTCTTTGCCGGAGGATGTTGTGAAGGCCAAGACTATAACAGGGTTCAAAAAAGAACTAGGTAAGTTCATGGATGATAGGTCCATCAATGGCTATGAGCCAGGATGGGCAGGGATGGTGTCCCTAGCCTCTGTTTGCCAGAAGCTGGGAATGGTGACAGTGGATGGATCACTTGGTGATTACCTGGTCTGTTCATTCCCTCTGGGGCACTTGGCATTGGCCACTGTGAGAAGACAGGATACTGGGCTAGATGGAGGTTTGGTCTGACCCAGTATGGCTGTTTTTATGTTGAATGCTTGGGCTTGGCAATACATTTTATTTTTCCCTTCAAGGAAAGCACTTAGCCTTCTTCAGTAAAGGCCTATATCAGAATCCCCTTCCCTCTGTCTTTGTTCGCCGCTCTTTTCCAACAAATGAAAGAGAAATCTTTGCTTTTTTAAAATTCAGTATAATGGTTATTGATCCTTTTAAAATGGGAATTTCTGCTCAACCCTTTGCTTCATTTCCAGCTATGGAACCTGGTATTCAGTTTCCGCGGTGTCATGATCTGGGAAGCAAGTTCCAGCGTCCAGACATCATTTATTTTAAATTTGTTTATATATGCCACAAAAAAAAAAAAAAAGTAATGGAAGTTTTGAAAGATGGTGTTCACCCTGGAGAAGCTCTGTGCTTTCACTGTATTTTATCCATCGTAAAAGCTTCTGGCTTTCTTTTTCTGAGTGCATGTGTATAAATGCACAGCTAATGATATGTGCATCTCTGTATTTCAGGAAGGATCCATGGACAGCTTGTATGAACCAGTCCAAGAGCACCAAGACCCCAATGAGACCATTAGCATTAGCAGCAGAGCTAGCACTCCACTGAGCCCCTATGTGAAATGTGGACCTCCAGACAGATCTCTGTCTTTGGTGAGTGAAAATAAGTGAAGTGCCCCATGCACTTTCCTCCAGACCATTATTTTTCTTGTCTGAGCTTTCCAACAGAGCCAGCGTTGTTGTCTCAGCCTCAAATTTTAAATATCTACACTCCTTGGAACCTACCAACATCCTACTAAGGTTTTTCTCAGACCTTCGTGCTTGCGAGATAGATGAAATGAGTGCTGTCCAGTCTTACAAATAGGACCCTAAAAACAGGTCCTGGGCTCTGTAGCACTTTGGACATGATCCAAATCCATTGAAGTCAATGGGAGTTCTTCCAGGGATGTCAATGAGCCCTTTATAATTAAGTATCCATTATATAGAAGGACATACAATATAACCACAGACTAAAACCATATAAGAAGAGAGATTGAGAGGGGTCTATGGAAAAATTATTTTATGGGCAAAGTATGTGATTCCCATTTAGTAGTAAAAATAATTAAAGGTGGGGAAGGAATTATATGGTAAAATGAAAGGATTCACTGTATAATTAAAATGGAGAGCAGGAAGTTGAGCAAAAAAGGATTCCCTAAAAGGATGCTAAAGGAGGAAAAAAAAACAAATATTAACCCATTAACAAGGCTATATTTCTAACATACAGCATATTAATATATGTACATTGGAATGAGTATGGATTCATAAAAAGATCACGTGTGAGAAGTTTGCTAGAATCTTTGAGTTTTCTACTGTGTATTTCCAAAAGCACAGATCACCAGTGAACTAGGGAACAGACTGTAGCAGTATTTGGATTTCAATATAAGAATCACATGGTTAGAGTTGTTTTACTTTCCATTACATTTCCAGTACAAAATTTCCATTAAAAAGCCAATGGAAAATGACTTAATGGAGATTTTCACACACACACACAATCTGTTTTCATTAGCATCTTCCAGGTTTTCCAAAACCCTAAAAAATAAATAAATAATAAACCTGAAGAAAAATTTGAGCAAAAACGGAAAAAAAAGTTAAAATTTTTGTAGGGGGGAAATAATTTCTCAACCAGCTTTACGTATGGTACATTGATTTGCAAAGTCAGAAATGTTGGTATGTTAAGGAAGTCTTTTGGGATTGCAAATTAGCATGAGGTATAAATAACAAGAGAAAACTAATACAACCTAAGACTTTGGCATAGCAGAGAGGAGAGAGATAATAATAACAAAGTTGGAATTAGGCTCACTATTTACATGCCTTATGAAAGATGTGCCTTCTAAAATAGCTGCATTTATTAATGCTGTGAATCGGAAGACAGAAAATAGAACAGAGTGGAAAAAAATTCAGGTTCTCTTTGTGTAAGATTAGTGATTTTTATAGTTAAGCGTAGGAAAGAATCAGGTTAATATTCCTACTCTTGCGTTGTGGATAGAGTAGTTGTTTCTCTCCACCCCAAAGGTAGCTCCATTTTGGACAGGTTGACTAGTTAGTAAAGCATTCTTGGGTACACTAGGGATGAAAGACATGAGGTAAATGTAAACTGTTGCTATATATTTATTATGAATAAAATCAGGGTGACTGTAACCAGAGGCTTTCTGAAATTCAGCAAAGCCACCAAATCTATTACCAGACCTGGATTATTTCTCCAATAAGCGCACATGCAGTAAACTATTTGCACAATGCTTGGCTGTAAGATTAAAATAAAATATGTTGACTGTGTCCAGTATGAATCAACAGATGTTATTTTCAAACTGTGCATGACATTAGTATGAATATATTTCAGCTGCCTCTTGAAATTCAGGTCACTGTGCCACTGTGTGTGGCCAAGATTGAAGTCACAACAAAGGGTAGCCAAACAAGGGACATGATCCCGCAAAGAGTTAATCCTGCATGTATCCTACCTACCATTTGACAGTGGATTAGCATGGAAATTTGCAAGACTGGGCCTGAGGTTAGCAGTGATCTACGAATTGTGGAGACAGATTGGCCAGACTTAGTCTGTGGACCTAAGGTTAGCATTGCAGTAGGCAGTCTTCTCCACCCCCACCCACCTGGATCCATCTTCCATTCTTCTTCTCTTCTTTCTTGTTATCAATCTCAGCCCAGACTCTCTTCTAATTAAAATGAATTAGTGGTACTTTTCTCCCTTCATCCTGGCTTCTTCCAAAGACATTTGCATTGCATCTGGTGATTATGTGAAGGCAGAATGGCTCCAGTTTCACAGAGGGTCAACACCAGAAAATGCAGAAGGAGGTTGTTTACTGATAAAATCCATGACTCAATACCTTTTTAATCATTATAAGGGCCACAGGCTACTTGGAGCCTTAGTCCTGTTTTCCCACCTGACCAGCTGAGAGTCACCCCATCCCACTCCAGCTAGGGGATGCCAGCAGCAGTCAAAGAAGATTTAACCACATAATGACTCAAAGAGGAACCATTCCCTAACTGGCTATCCAGTCTACCAACAAGTCATCATGCTTCCTGTACAACCAACCACTCGACCATCAGAGGCTGTGAGATGATGCAGCTTGTTGTTGTTTGTATTCCAGCAGTGCCCAGAGGCCTAACCAAGTTTTGGGTTTGATAGCGCTAGGCACTGTACAAAGCTAAAGTAAGAGACAGTCCCTGCCTCGTGGGTTAAAAACACAAAACAAAGGGTTGGAGAAGGACATAACACATCAACAGAGGGAACAAGAGGGATTGTTTGCAAGTGCCAAGTATAGCTCATGATTATTTTTTAAATAATTTGGGGGTGGATTTTAGAGGTTTGGATATTTTGATTATATTTGTACGAATTTAGTATTTAGGGCAGGAAAGGTGAGGAAGGAAGGCATGAAGCGATTAGCTAACAGGAAAGGTAAAGGAAGGCAGGGGAAGCATGGCTGCAAGCAGAAGCCATAGAAACAGATGGGGTGTTTTGGTGTTTGTGCGGGAGGGGACACCTAGGTAATGCCACAGGTATCATTGAGAAAGGCAGCAATTTTTCAGTGACCATCTTGTTAAAATTTGGGAGTACATTCCTTGCTAGGGACTGTAATGCAGAAGATGGGTGGAACTTAATTGTACAGAGGAATTTTCCTTTGCAAAGGGAGGCTTAGGTTTATCCAGACTTTCCATATCAGTGAAGCCTGGCACTGGTGAATATGGTGTCATTCTTTCCGCTGCTCTTTGTTTCTTATAAAGTGCCTTTTTTTAAGAGTAAAAGTAGACTTGCATGTGTTTTTATAACCTATGGCAATTGAGAAAAGCCTTTACATTTCTGCTTTAAAAAGGAGTCCTTGAAATGTAAACACACTAAATAAATTGTTTGGATTTTTTTTCTTTCCCAAATAATATGTTGCCTTTTTTAATCCTTCAAGGTTGGTGTATTATTGGTATAATATATCATCAGGGCTATGACAAACATTTCTACTTAGTATTAATGTGTTTTGGTAATCTCTCCTTTCCTGCCTAACAATGCTCTCCCAATCATAAACACTATCTATCTGTGGCTTTGCAAAATAAATTGTGTTTAGAAAATCCACTCAAAGAATAAAGAGAAGTCAGAGCTGCTTTTGTGCAAGGAGGGAGAGTGCTGCTTTCATTTAGGGTTTATGCCAGCATAAACCTTTGCATAAGTACCTTGTGGCCAAAAATCTACTGGGTGATGACACTGCAAAGCAGATTTACTTATGCTGGTGGAGGGGTATAAGGGATCAGTACTATCTGTACAAAGGACAGTGCTGGTTTGACAGATGGAGTGGCCAGAGCACTAAGAAGTGCGTTTTTGCAATTCCTCCTGTTGGCAGAGCTCCTGTGGAGCCCTGACGCAAATTAAAGCTGCTTCTACTCCTGGTGAATGGAACGTAGTAGTGGTATCCTCACCATCACAGGTGAATTACCTTTGAGGTGAACAGGGCTTGGCAGGCACAAGGAGGTATAATTTACACATCCCTCTGGCAGTTCTGCTGAATTTGACCCAAAGTGTTTCTTTCACTGTTCTTGTGATTTCATTTATCTTCCCAGGAGATTCATTAGACAGCACGCCTGTAGTAATATGTATATATTCATATAAAAATGCCATACAGATTATGAAGGACCTGATCTTTTGAGGTACGGAGCTCCCATGAAATGAAAGCAGTTAAAGGAACTCAACTTCTCACAGGATTGGACCCTAAGTTAGCTATTTGGGTGCTCTGTGCACATGTCCAGAAGAAGCATACCCGTGAGGTAAGATGCTGAGCATCCAGATGTTACAATTAAGTTTCCACTTTTGGCCTCTGAATGCAACAAGTGTGGTGTTTGAGAGTAATAACACCTTTTGAATATTATAGGACCCTGTCCATGGAGTCTGCCTATGAAAATAATATAGTTATGAAGGTCTGTTTTTATTCCCAATACCCAATGTCCTTCTACTATTATTAATTTATATTGTATAGGACAGTGTTTCCTTAACATTTTCAGGTTGGCAACCCCTTATTTGAGGTAAACTCTTTTTTTGACCTTCTTATGTTTTCTATATAAGTCAGAATAAAAAATGTATCAAAGATAACAATAAGCAGAAACATAACCTACATGTGTTTTGAGAAGTTGATGGAGAATACTTGTTCTTGAAGAGTAAGGGTGTATGCGGGGAAGAGGGGATCGAAATTTTCTTTGCTTTAGATTGGAAAAACATTTTCAATGCCCCATTGGTTGAGAAACACTGCTATCAGATAACATTACCACTGTACATAAGTGAAAACAGATCCCTGGAGACTGAAATCCTCTGTGTATGCCCAAAACAGATGGGCACAGAATAGAAACCTTTTATCTGAAAAAGGCGCAGAAATCAATTGACATTACGGAGTACAGCAAAGGTAAGAATGCAAGCTTCCCCTATCTACCCTGTCAATGCACTTCAGGCTTGACCAGATGGAACCACTTCTATCACTAAGGTCATATCTACTCTAGAAAATGTTTAAATGTGATTGTGAAACATAGCTGTAGTCTAACCAGAGAAGAATCTAATTAATCAGATTCTAATAAACTGAGTATAATACTGTTGATTTATGCGCATGACCAGCAAAAATAATATGTAC